TTAGTGTAATCAAACAACCAACCCTCCTTTGCAATCATTTGGCACATTAGAGTCAAAATTAAATTCTAACACGTATAATCTCTTGGGACGATTCCTTCTCACTTATACTACATAGTATTGGTGTTAAGCGGTTTATAAATTTAAAGTATGATATCACTTGACACTAATTTCCAAACTCAAAGTGTTGTGCATTATTTTGTGCACACGTTCGAGTCGCATCAGACACCTAATGCCAGAAGCCTGCACCATAAGTACCTCATCGCTCACTGCACACAAGCTTGACACTCAGCGTTCGGACACTCGTCTTAGCATCCGGACGCCCACCTGCGAGTAAATGTGCTGAATTTAAATTATCAATTACTTTTCTCTCTCTTCTTCAATTGAATGACTGGTTTTTAGGAGTTTTGAACCTGATTCTGACGAGGAGGTTATATACACTTGTCTAATGTTGTAATAAATATCATATATCATTTGGGATTCAAATTTTGTATACTTTTAGAGAGAGAAAGTGAGGAAAAGCTAAGGTTCTTGAGTGTTCTTGGGAGAGGCTACTATGGAGCTGAAGATGGAGGCTTCCTCTTCAACCATTGAAGCTTCAACCACCACCAGGATGAGCTAAATCCCCTCCTAGGGGATTGAGGTAGCCTTGACCAGATCAATTGTGTAATTTTTGTAGTTTAATTTGGGGAAATAATATTATATGTAATGGATTTCATGAATAAGATGAGGATTTATGTGCAATTCGTGTATTACATTAAATTGATGTATGATCCGGGCAGAATTCATATTTATAAGTATATCTACCATGTAATTCTTATCATAGAACCATGTTTACATGCTTATACTCTTGATATCTTTATGGTGACAATGAAGATTGATTTTCATGAAATGGGATTATAGGCATGTTGTGTATGACTTTAGATAAATTCTGCCAAGGGAAGATAGGCCATGCTACACCCCTATATTAATGTAGTTAGGTAGATGGTTCATGCCAACCAAGTATAGTTTATGCCAGATAATTGCTTTCATATGCTAAAACTTGTAAATTCAAGACCTTAATAGGCCATGCCTAGGTACCACATCCTAGTTTAGGTGGATGAGTCATGCCACCTGCAGATGGGTTATGCTTAGTCTTGAGTTGCATGAATTTCTGAAAAATTATTGTAGTTGTTAATGCTTCTACACTTTATCATTACATGTAGTTGTTTTTTCCAAGTTAATTACACTAAAGCATGATTATGAGGTCTCGGTGAACTCAATTCCCTAGCCTCATTTAATTGTTATTTAAATCTTTGAATTTGATTTATCTTTTTTAAAATTTTATGCTAAGTGACAACAAACAAACTACTCTTCAAATCATCTTGTGACATTAATAAGCTTGAAATTAATCTTTGAAATCTGATTGCCACAAGCTTCGCAATCTTCGTGAATCGATACCCCTACTTAGCCATTTTCTACGTGAATTTGTGCTAGTCGGTGGTTTTATAATTGACGCACCGCTTGGACGCCCATCATAGCCCTTCTAGCAGCTTTATATATCACCATTGATCCTTTGTTGATCTCATCTTCAAGAATCCCTAAGAAATATTCTGTGACAAGTGTAAACAGAAGTGGAGACAAATGACAACCTTACCTTAGGCCTTTTCCAACTTGAAAGAAACCATAGGGGGGTCCATTGACCAAAATAGAGAACCAAGCTGTAGTTATACATTGATGCACCCAGCCAATCTAAGTACTCCTAAAACTAAAAAGCTGCATTAAATGGAACAAGAAGGATCACTAGACAGAGTCATAAGCCTTCCTCAAATCAATTTTCCAAGCAAGGGTAGGTTTTACATTCTTTACACCAAAGCCTCTCATTAGCTCATGAGAAAGAATTAGATTATCTTGAATTTTCCTCCATTTAATGAAAGCATTTTATTTTCCCCCAACAATTTTACCCAAGATAACAACCAATCTATTAGCCGAAATCTTTATAATAACCTTATATACCACATTACATAAAGATATAGGTCTGAAATCATTCACCTTTAGGGCCTCTTTCTTCTTTGGAATTAGGGTGATAAATGTGTTATTTAGACCTTTGCCCATCACTGGAAATTTAAAGAAATAAAGGATAGCATTCTTCAAGTCATCTCCAACTACACTCCAATATTGCTGAAAGAATTTAGTAATGAAGCCATCAGGACCAGGAGCTTTATCGGCCCCATGTTAAAGACAGTATTCTTCACCTCCGCCCTACTGATATAAGCTTCTAACAAAGCAGCATCCTTAGGATCTAAGTGTCTCCTAATGTACTCTGATTTGGGGTCGGGGATGCTAGTAGCCTTATTAGTGAATGCATTTTTGAAATGATCCACAAACATCTTTTGAATTAAAATAGGATCATTTATCACCCCCCCCCCCCCAATGTCTTCCAAAACAGAAACATTATTCCTGGACCTATCCTCCTTGATCTTCTGATAAAAGAACTTAGAGCAATGTCTTGTTCTGTTACCCATCTCATCCTAGCCTTTTGAGAAAAGATAAGAGCTTCATCAGACTCTGCAAAGTCAAAATATTTCCTTGCCGTTTCTTCCCTCTTGATAATATCTTCATTCAATGGTTCATTAGCCAACTCAATTTGCATAACTTCCAAATTTCTTCTACAAGATATAAGATCCTAAAAAATGGACCCAAATTTCTCTATACCCTATGTTTTCACAGCTTTTTTGGTTAGCTTCAACTTCTGTAACAAACATTGAATAGGATCTCCATGCACCACATTAGACATGCTTTAGCAACCATCTCAAAAACAATAGGCTGTTTATTCCAAACTAAAAGGAATCTAAATGGTTTGGGACCAACATCAATATTCAAAGGGAGTTTCACACCCCTGTCCAGTTTTGCATAAATTCTCCTTTGACTAACTCTCTTGTTACACCAAGCAAATTCACCATTAGAAATAAGCATCTTTGACAGGCACAATTGATCAATGGTATGGTTAAAACCCTTGAAGAACTCTAGGAGTGTGTCAACCCACCTTTCTTTTCATAATTAAACCGAATAACATTCCGATCCCCAATCTGAAGCCATGGTCCATTCATCACAGAAGCACAATCTAGTAGATTTTTCCACAGGTATTTTCTCTCAGTGGCAGTATTCTTTACATAAGCAAAAACAACAAAAAAATACCTAGTAAACCCTCTAACACCAACTTTCAACAGCATTACTTGGGCTTTAACCATCATAATATTAACAACAAGTTTATTTATCAAAAAAAAAAAAATATTAACAACAAGTTTAGTAGACTCCCAACCACACCAAATATGTACCCTAGCATCAACAGAAAAATTGTTAGTCTAGGACCACTCATCCTTGATCCTAGACTTAATCTTTGAAAACTTGCTGCAATTGAATCTAGTTTCAACTAAACAACAAAGAAATAAAGAGGACTTACTCAACTAGGACCTAACCTCAGCTTGCATCTTTCTCCTGTTGAGCCCCCTAACATTCCATAACCTAATCATATAGGTAAGTGTGGTGAATTTGTTCCACCTACTGCCATGCCTCTAGTCACTTTAGTTGTGTTAGTTTTAACCTCAATATCTTTCTTCCTATTCTTCTTTATCTAATTTTTGGACACTACAACCATATGAGACATTGTACCAGGGAAATAGTTTCCGAGTTCCTATCTTGAGTATTTGCCTCTAGTTCAACCACCTCTACATTAGAGGATGTTAAAGGAGGGTCCTCGTTATGATCTTCAACAGAATCTTGCGACAAAGGCTCCGTCTCCTGCACTTCAGCCTCCACTGTGGACACCTTCCCTTTAGCCTTAACCACCCATTGTTCAGTAACCTTAGGTATAACCTATTTTCCCCTAAAGGACATAACCACTCATTGTGATCAATTCGCTTACATAGGTTTCCACTCATACTCCACTCGTACCTTACAGGACATCCATGTAATCAAGTACTAATGGTTTTTGGAAAACCATCTTCAACATCCATCTCTGCCATGACACGAACAAAAAGTCCTCTTTCCCATTGAAAGGTAACATCATCCATGTTCAAGGGTTTAGCTATGTTGGACACCACCTTGGCAACTGATGTTTTACTACGAGCATATACTGGTAAATTATATAACTTGACCCAAATCGGAATCGAGGCAAGGATATCTCGTTCCAGTTGAATACTCTTATGCCATTTTTTAATGATTACCGGTCGTCCTTGGAACATATGGAACCTATACATATTTTGCAACACATTATCTTCGCATGCAAACCGAACTTGGAAGAAACCATCCTTCAAAGAGAGCACCACTGCATTCGGTTCTGGATATAGGCTTTAAAGTGAGGAAAGTAGGGTTTGTTCCCCAAGACATAACAAACCACCGAGTTCGCCCAATACTTCAATTCCTTTGCAATATCTGCGTCTTCAATTTTAACAATGTCCTTTGATTGTATATTGCTATAATACTGCAATGGAGAATAGCCTGAGGGTGATGAATCCACCAACAAAGAGCTCCATGTTGGACGTTAGGAAGAAGGAGAGAGTTGGGTTTGATCTCTTCCCAATGTGGAGGAGGAGGGAGGACCCTCCTCTATGGTGATACTAATCTTCTTCCCCGAAACCCTAGCAAATCCTAGGGTTTGGAATGGCCTATTGAGTTGCTTTTGGAATGGCCTATTGAGTTGCTTTTAAGTTCCACCTATAAACTTCTTGCAAAGTTAAGAGTTATAAATAGGTATAGCTATATATATACACACACACATACACATATTATAATTGCTTAGTGTGGGCCAGTTCGGTCCTGTAGGACCCTAATTCGAGACTGAATAAAAAATTTATGATTTCATTATTTTAGAACTATAATTAGACTAAATCGCTAAGAAATCGGCCCAGACCGACCGAGTTGGTCGGATTTGATTTCTCTGAGTTGATGGTTTTTTGCACACCCCAAAAAAAAAATGGACATCTAAAAAGCCAAAAACCATAAACCTCGGTCTTTAGGTTATATATGTCACACCCCCAAGTCATATGTTACAATAACTCGCGCAGAGTAGTAGATCTGCTATACTGAAAACAGCCTCTTGAAAGCCGAAGCTGAAGCTTCAGATCAGACGAATAATGGCGATTCTTAGAGACTATTATTTTCTTCTGAGTTTCTTCATGATGCATATAGTCTGTGCCACTTCATACGCTGCTGCTGATCTGATCCAAGGATGTGGTGGATTTGTTGAGGTGAATTTTATTTCCTCTAATTCATTTATAGGGGAAAATTATTCTTCTAACTTTCAATTTTCTGAAAAAATTTCCCAGTTAAATATTTTCTTTCCTACCGTCAATCGAATTCAAGTGGATGATAGAAACCCTTGTGGCTACTTCAAAGTGAAACCCCTAATAGAATCGTAAAGATATGATATTTAATTTAACCCCTTTAAATTAGCATCATATTCGTTCCGTAAGAAAATATTGTCTCTCTTGATTTCGCCGAATTGATGGATATGATGTGTTTGGTTTGTTATTTTCTGCTGTTAATTTAGCTCGGCGTGAATCTCTATGTTATAGGCCAGTTCGGTTTTGATCAAGACGAGGAAGGCGACTGATGCTAAATTGGATTATTCTCATATCACGGTATGATATTATTTTGCTCATTTGCGTATCTAAATGATAGTATTATATTCTTGTTTTCACTTTTTCTTCTCTTTCGCTCTCTTCTTTTATTATTTTATTTTATTTTATATTTTTAGGCAAGTCCCAGTCATCTTGATGCACTAAAAGTTTTTTTCTTGAATGAAAGCTGCAAGATGTTCCAAATGGCTCGCTTCCAACTAAAAAGCCCTTAATACCAAAACCTTCTCTTTCAGGGAGACAAATATCTTTATAACCTACTTTTGCTCCACCTGATTTTAAGAAACTTCCACATAAAATTTTCAGTCTCCATTAGCAATTTCTTTGGAAGAACTAACATAAATGACTGGTATACCTCTTTGGATAACAAATAGTCTAAATAGAGTTAATTAATTCCATCCTCCTAGCAAAAGAAATAGCTTTCTTCATCTTTAGTTGGATTATAGCAGTGATGCGATCAACCAAAGGCTCGCAGTTCTCAGCTCTCAAAAGAGTGGAAATGAGTGACACTTGCAAGTATTTGATGGGAAGTTCTCCTTGTAAAAACTAGAATTGCGTTATATGCTGATGTTATCAGCCAATGGCTTGCAATCCTCGGCTCTAAAAAGAATAAAAATAAGCAACCCTCATAAATCTTTTTCTAACAGTTTAAAATCTTTCTGACCTGTTTGATAGATCCAACTTAATCTACCAATTCACTCTCTACACTTCGATAGTTTTATGTTTCGAAAAACAATTTATGCATTCAAAAATAGCATTTGAAGATCAAAATTATATGAACCCTAACATGTTTAATGATGAATTTTTTATTTTTTTGGTAATGAAGAATCAACCAATCCGCAAAACACGCATATATCATTGAAACCCTGGTGTTTTTGTGCCTTGTGAGAACTGAATAGACGACATCCGAGTTTACGGTTTGCCCCATGAGACCCCTTATCCACTGGCCCACCTGTGCGTGTTGTTTAATGATGAAATTGCATGAACATGAACCCTTTCAAATTGGCGAGTGAACAATCTAAGAGTTAAACTTACTTTTGCACCCTTGTTGAATCTTTGAAATCTCCTATTTGACCTTGGATAGAGGTAATTACACTGAATGACTAACTTGTAAAAAAAATATAAACAAACTAAAAATTATTGACTCTTGTTTTCAACGAAATTATGCTAAGTCATATTGCCCTTACAACAACAACAACTATAAATTCCCAATTGTAGGTGCAAAAAATTGCAGACCAAGAATGGTCAACTCAATCAATGCAGAACACTCAAAAAACGAAGAAAAAGACAAAGGAAGCTATGAGACAAAAGCTTTTCAGAGAGAATTGTTATTTATTTATTTTATTTGAGGTCTCTGCCCCTATTTATAAGGATTACAATAGCCGAGTCCTCTTTAGACTCCTTTCCTCAAGCCCTTTTCTTCTTTATTTTGTTTCCATCTAGGTTTCTATTACCGTAGCTGCATACTTGATTCACAAGTCTAAAATTTCCTCTGAGTTTTTGAGTTGAGAATTCGGCATTGGACCTGGGCTTCATGCATTGGTCGAATTGGGCTTCAGCTGAGATGGGCTTACAGCTTACTTTATGTCTTGCTTCTTATTCCTTGGGCTGTCCACGTGTCATCTTTCCACCGGCTCTCCACTTATATAGATGGCTCGTTTTTTATAAGTGGAAAATTTTCTCTCCACACTTTGCCCCCAATTGTCTCCTAAGTTAACGGTCCTAATTTGAAGGGAATTTAATTTTTGCTTGAATAGTAGATAGTCCTGGGTAACTTGGGCGGTTGATGTCAGTGATTCTTTTACCGCTAATTCAAATTTTTGATGGTGTGAGTCGCTCCTCTTCACCTTCCTCTAGCTTCCCATGAATAACATGGATAACCTGAATTGGGTGGGGCATCTGTTGGGTTAACCCTACGGGTATTCAGCATTGGTTCTTATGGCTTAGGCTGCTCCTTGCCCAACAAATACTTAGTCAACTCTCCCTTGGCCAGCATAGCCTGTACTTAGCTCCTTAAGTTCCTACACTCGTTGTTGATGTGACCGAAGTCTTGATGAAACACACAATGTTTGTTCTTGTCGTTTTGCTCAAGTGGCTGCTTTGTAGGTGGCGGAGGTTGGAACTTATTCTTTTTCTCCTGATACAACCGTGCAGTTGATTTCAAGTTGAGAGGTGAGAGTTTATTAAACTTTTGGCATTCTTGAAATGTAGGTTTCCTTTTAATGAAGTAGCTCTGAACTCTTTCCACCATTCCCTGAAACTCGTCATTGTCAGACCAGAAATAAAAAACCTTAAAAGGTTTATTAACCTTTGCAGGGAGAGTTTAACCATAAAAGTGATATATGAATGATTATAAATACCTGGAGGATGAAAAGAGACTTCAGAATAAGGGAAGACCATGATCCATTTTTCATTATTCATAACTCTGTTCAGTGTTCAAGTGATCACCAGTAAATTGAAAGCCTACATTGATAGTTTAAATTAACCAATTCATTTTGGCATGTACAATTATTAAAATTGTCCATGGATCTTGGCCATCCTTTGAACCCCTTATTCTTTTATGTTTAAATCTTATGGCATTAAAATCCCCTGCAAGAAGCCATGGAGAGGAAGAAGCCAAACAAGACATTTACCTGATCTCCTTCTATAATTCTGTTGAAGGAATAGATTATTCTTGGGTAGTTATGCTGTTACTTTCTATCTGAATGCAAGTGGCTTTATATATTAGAATTATACATACCAGGGCCCATGTGACATCTAACATCTCGCAGTTGATGTTTCTTCCTTCTCTTAACTAAAGAAGAGAAATCTTATATCAAATTTTCTTCTCTGTTGTGATCTAGACATAGGGGTTGGCATATTGTGTAACTCATGTCACAACTGTTATGACTGGTTACCCAATTTTGACAACATGGCCTCCAAAAAAGGGGAAAGAATCATGTTAGTATTATATATTCGTGCCCCTGATATTTGATATTGTAGTTGGTACATTGATATTACAGCTGCCCTTGTGTAGTTGTCTTTGGGATGTGCTCCCCTCTTGAGCTCTCTTTATTGAAATTTTACTTATCGTAAGAAAAAAAAAAAAAAAATTGATATTAGTGTCACACTTCTAAATTTAAATACCGGAACATCTAGTCCCATACTTAAATTGTGATTGACTTCTATTCAACATCCAAATTCATTCACAATAATGTTTAATAAACCACATCACCAACTAACATATCATTCAACTAGAAAGCACCGACACTTCACCTAGGGGTGCCATGGCGGTGTTGGACATGTGAACATGACTCGGACACGATTAGAAGTATCCTAAAATTTAAATAATTTAATTTTTTACTGACACGGCTAGGACATGGCTGACACACGGCATGGACACGACAAAGACACATTTTGGACACTTTTAGGACATGACAGGGTCACGGGGCGGTTTTTTAATTATTATTTTTTTTTTAGAAAAATGGGATTCAATGAAATTTAAAACATATTATGAGTTAGGTAGAAAGATAATATAAAATTTGAAAAAAAAAAAAAAATCTAGCTCTAAGCTTCGAATTAGTGATTTAATAGATAAAATGAGTAAAAGTTATTATTATTATTTTATATATAATAGTATATTATATTAATTTTTTTTTTTATGTATCCATGCTGTATCCGTGTCCTATTTTTTTATTTTTTTTATTTTTATTTTTTATATTTGTCATATCGCCGTGTCCGTATCCATGCTTCCTTAGTCATTCAATATTATAAAATCCACAAACCAACTTCAACTAATAAATTCCTATCTCCATTATGTGGTTATCCTCACTACAAGATCACTAATGCTAGAAATAAATCTAAAATAATAAAAATACAAAAAATAGACGTCTCTATACAATCACGTGTCTAGGGAGGTTAGATTGTCGTTACGGGGAGGGTGTTGGTGGGTGGCAGTCTAGAGAGGTTAGATTCCCAGCGGGTATGGGCTCGTGGAAACTTATCCATAGAGGTTGGGATGAATTTTCTAAAAGGATTCGGTTTAAGGTTCAAAGTGGAAGAAATGTCAGATTTTGGGAAGACACATGGTGTGGGGATTTGGCTTTGGCCCATAAGTTCCCGCTTATTTACCGAATTGCTGCTAATAGAGATGCTTTTGTTGCTGATTATTGTCGTCTTGATAATGGAAGGGTGACTTGGGATTTACGGTTCCGTAGACAGTTCCATGACTGGGAACTATTGGAGGTTACAGATCTTTTGACTTTCATTTATAGCCAGATGGTGGTCGCGGTGGGCATGCATGAGATGGTGTGGGTGGGTTCCTCGAGAGGGGTGTTTGAGGCCAAGTCTTTCTATTTTAGTATGGTGGAGTTTCTTGGCCTCGTTTTTCTCGTAGACAGCTGCTTTGGGAAGCATCCTCACTATTGATAATCTTAGAAGAAGAAGTCAAGTTGTGGTAAACAGGTGCTACATGTGTAAGAAGACGGGGGAATCTGTCAACCATCTTCTTATTCATTGCTCGATGGCAAGGGATGTTTGGACCATGTTTTTGGTTGCTTCTAGTATTCCATGGGTGTTCTTAGATTCAACGGTTGACTTGCTTGAGACTTGGATAGGGTGTACAGTGGAGAGCCGAGTCAGAGATGCTTGGAGGGATACTCCCTTGTGTATATGGCGGGGTTTGTGGCGAGAGAGAAATAGGAGATACTTTGAGGGTGTGTAGTCTCTTATTTGGGCTATTAAGTATAGTATACTTTCTTCTTTATTCTTTTGGGTAAATGGGCGGGATTGTATGTTAGTGGATTTTCTTTTGGATTTTGTTGATAGCTTGAAGCTTTAGTGTCGTCTTGGATGGCAGTTGTTTGTTTTGGGAGCGCTGCCCTTTTGAACGTGTTTATATAATCTTTTCTTTATCTATCAAAATAAAAAAACTCTTGATTTTCTGATATTGATATTGATAAAAGTAATACCTGATCCCTAAACTCTTACAACATGTATTTATAGGCATAAGCAAACCCTAAACT